AAATGTATGCTTTCCTAACTGTGGACACCGGCCCTGCTCAAAATCGTGACAGATTTCTAGAAGTCTGATTGTTCTTGTCCTGGTGATTGCCACAGAAATAAGCAGCAGATCAGTTTTAGCCTTGAATTGAGAGAACCTGACTGCTCACTTCCTGCTAACCCTTCCTTCCACCAGCAGTGTGGTCAGGCTGGAAGTCTCACTGCTTTCTTACAATGGCAACAACATGAGAGAAGCCAGTTGCCAACATGGTCCTGCTATTCCAACAGTTATTTATCTGTCAACAAGAGTAAGAGTTCTCCATCTGACATGCTAATAGAGTTCCTCTTCTACACTAAGATTTAGATAAAACTCTTCCCTGTACAAATATCCAAGACTCCCGAGACTCTTTCTTTCCTCTGAGCCCCAAGCATGAGTTACTGGGGCTGCCTTTATAACATTTATCCCTTCCTCCTTTGCATTACAGTAGCTTGTGTAAAGGCTTTATGTTCCCAAAGGATGGGAATGGATTTTCATACTCCATTCTCTTGGGCCCTAGCACAGTGCCTTGTATACCGTAAAAATGCAATAGATGTTTATTCCATGTCATGCTCAGAAAACAACAAACATGAATATGCTTCACTTAAAAAGAAGCCCCAGAAGGCAGAGATCTTTGTGTTCACTAATGTGACTACCATGTGCCTAAAAAGTTCCTGACACACAGCTGGCACTCAAGAAATATTTGTTGAATGAATGGATCAGTATTATAGCTTTATAAACAGTTTGGACAGTTCTTATTTGATTGGTAAACAAAGAAAAAAATTTCATACAATTTATAAAGGAAGAAAAAGTGGATTGGTAATTTTTCCTTTCTATAGACCAGGAGTTGACAAACTCTACAGAGAGCCAGACAGGAAAATATTTTAGACTTTGTGAACCATATGATTTCTGTTGCAACTACTCAGCCCTACAGCTGAATACAAATGCAGTCATACACAAATGTGAATAAATGAGTGTGGCTATATCCCACTAAAATTTTATTTACAAAAACAATTGACAGATGGGGCCAGCAGGTGGCATGGTGGTTAAAGCAATGGATTCCCACATCGTCAACCATGGTTTTCTTGGACTTGGTGGCTTGAAAATCATGCCAGGCATATGTGCATCTGTGCCCCAAATCCCAAGAGAATGGAGAAGGGATTGTGGCATGGCCATGCCCCTGGGGAGTGATTTTTCACTTCCCATCTCACTGTTTTTCCCTTTGTCTTTGTAGTGAATGCGCATACCCTAAGGCAAAACCATACAAAAAATAAATAAATAAAATTATTGGCAGGGCTGGCCTGTGGCCTAGGGGTTAAGGGAGCTGGATTCCACATGGATGACCATACAATTTGAGTCCCAATCCCAGTGGCTTGAAAAACATGCCAGGTACATGTGCATGCATATCCAAAATGCCAACAGGATTTAGAAACAGTATAGAAATGATTGTGGTATGCCCATGCCCCACTGAGAGATGATCTCTCCCACTCCTACTTTATCCTTCTGTCTCCTGCTGGTGAGCGAATACACTCTAAAAACAAACAAACAAACAAAACACACATACACACACACACACACACAAAACAATTGGCAGGCAAGATTTGGCCCATGGGCAGTATGTCAATCTATACTGTTGAACAACTGTGTAGGGATTATCTGTTAGAGAGTAACTAGGTAACTACTCCCTTCTTGAAGTCCATGCTTTCTACATGTTTATATGTCTCTGTCTCTCTCTCACTCCCAACAAGTAAAATAGTGTTTTGCAATATGGTACCTGTACAGTATATGTCTGTTGAATTAAACTGAATTCTACACTGATTTCTTGAAATTGAAGTTTACAGTAGAATCAGTGGACTCAAGTTCCCATAATGTGCATTTAAAAAACAAAAATCTGTCTCTTAGTAAAAGGTGAGGAAAAGTTAATAATCTGCTGAAATAATGTACCCTAAAACTTTTGTAGTTAATGGGGCACCTTTCACCTTGATAGGAAGGGTTGCAATGTCCCTTACTTGAAGCATTTTCTTCAGGATGGCAATGATTAGCCAGAGGTAGCACTTCTCATTATCCACAAAGCCAAGAAATGATTAACAAAACTTTCTCACTGCCCACACAAGCTCATTCTTCTTTTGAAGCTTTCTTTTCTCTCAGTCTTTTTAAGTAACTTATCTTCATAGAAAGCATATGAGTAAATAATCATGGGTATCTACTACTGGCAAAAAATATGTTCCCACATTTTGCTCTAAATGACTACCTCAAATGTGATATTCTTATGAGTATTATGTTAAATTACTAGATTATTTCAGGCCAGGCATCTGGTCCATGAAATGATAGTCTATATATTTATCACTGAAGTAGATCATACTTTTAAAATGTATAGGTAGTATTAATGTGGAACAAAGCCATCACAAAATGTGCTTTGTGACCCTATCTAATACCTGCACTACCTATTTGAAAAAAATTTTAACTTATTTCTCATTTTGCCAAGTGTTGGCCTCTCTTAAGAATCAGGCCTGATTTCCCCTTCACCTGCAAATGTAATTTGAAACAGAACTCCAATGAGATTACTTGCTGAGCATGTTAAACATTCATAGTTTTGCCATATGCTATTATAGGAATTGCACTGAGTTATAGCAATTTGAGCGCCACTAGAGAGCACAGATTTACCTGATACCAACTTTTCTGTAGTGGGAAATAATGTTTTAAATGTTTCATTTGCATCTAGATATCTGTTGAACTAAGAGGCATGGATTATGTTCATGAATTTTTGAAGAAAACTACTTCCACATATTAAATATACAGTCCTACATTTGGTAACTTCTAGAAAAATTAAGGTATATGAACTCTAAGTTTATACTATAATAGCACAGCGGTCAAGGACATAGATTATCAAAGTAAGGCAGATTTAGGTTTTATTCCTCTTTTACCCATCTAATTATTCTATATCTTTGTTTACTTCAGTGGTAAAAGAGGAAAAATAATAATGCAGACCTGACAGGATTGCTGTGAAGATTAAATATGACAAATATGGAAGGCATGCAAACATCTATAATAAAGAGCAATGTCACGTGGTTTCTTCTCATGTATGCTCAATGACTAATTATTACTAATTCTTACTGCCTAAACATTGTATTTCTGTTTAAGGTTAGTACAGCTGTAAAAGATGAAAAATGCTTGACTATATGAAACTTGACGGAAATGTTGGAAGATGACTTAGCAAACTTAAAAACTGCCATATAAGACAAAGTCATTGCTATAGTCAATAATACCAATTTACAAAAAACGAAGGTAAAAAGAAATGAAGGCAAAGGATGGTCTCCTCACAATAACTTGACATAATTGTGCTAATTTGCGTTTTGGATGAAGAAAGTGTATGTTCATTTTAAGCATTCTAAGGAGGACTTATGGAAATGAGTGCCAGCTCTACATCCACTGAGCATTCTACCCAATTACATTCAGAGGAGGAAAGTAGCTTCTTAGAAATAATTATATTTGGCTGTAATAAGTGAATACATACAGTATGAATATTCATACACATTAAAATTTTTAAGAATATAAAAAAGCCAAAGAGCCTTTAATTTTTTTTTAATTGACTTAGAGTGCACATTTGAATAGAGATGGATTCTCTCCAGGTCAGTGTTCTCAATGGAGGGGCAGCTGTGCCCTCCATGGAACATTTGGCGATGTTTGGAGACATTTTTGGATGTCGCAACTCAGGATGGAGGATGCAACTGGCATCTGGTGAGTAGACTCTAGGGATGCAACTAAACATCAACGATGCGAAGACAGTCTGTACAACAAAGAACTGGCTTTGGGGAGTAACAGCTCCAAATGTCAATAATGCTGAGATTGAAAAATCCTGCTCAAGGCTAAGAGCAGCTTAGGGCCAAATGGGTTTAAAATCATACATACCCCAGATGGATATGCTTTTTGTCAATATGGTCAATTCCTGCCAGTATCTTATGTTGGTTTCATGTTAGTGAAGCGTAAACTGAAGTATCAGCATAGAGTTCATATCCTCAGGAAAAGAATGACTGGAAATGCCAAAGATATATAGTTTACAAAGTACTATATGTTACTTGACCTATTAAGGACTTTACTATCAAGACTAGCTGAACTTCGGACCAGCAGTTAGCGTAATGGCTATGTCGCTGGACTCCCACATAGTCGACCGCGGTTTGAGTCCTGGGCCCGGTGGCTTAAACTCACGCCGGGCGCGTGTGCGTGCATGCCCAGGATCCCAAGAGAAGAATGGAGGAGAAGGGATTGCGGCGTAGCCATCCTCCCTGAGGGGTGATTTCTCGCTTTCTGTCTCTCTGTCTCTCTCTGTCTGTCTGGCGAGCACACACGCCCTATAGCAAAAACCTCCAAAAAAAAAAAAAAAAAAAAGACTAGCTGAACTATATAGAGAGGGCACCCATCCACACTAAGACTTTCACTAACTGACTCGGGGTTTCCTGGCTCTAGATTTGTTTGTTTGTTTGTTTAACGTTTTTGCCACAGAGCGCATGTGCTGGCTAGAGAGACAATGAGAGAGGGAAATTGAGAAAGCTCCCCAACCCCTTCCTGGGAGGATGACTATACAACAATCCCTTATCCTCTCTTCTCATTCTGGGATTTTGGGCATGCACACATGCACGTCTGGGACTCGAACTGTGATCAACTGTGTGGGAATCCAGTGCCTTAACCACATGCCACCTGCTCGCCCCCGTGGCTCTAGATTTAACCAGCATCAATTTCCATTGACAAACACCATATGGAACAAAGCAGACATAGATATAAGCCCTAGTTCTCAGACAAATAGTTATAAACCTAATTTGGGGTTGTTATTCTCCACTCCTACAGAATTGAAAATCTATTTCATATATCAAAGAAACTCTTCTCTTCCACAAGTACCCTTACACAAACACTGCAAGGGCAGCAGAAGAGATTGTAGCCGGCAATGTGGATAATGCTTAAAGCTTAAAAATGTATACCAAAGACATTACTTTCAAGTTTTTGATTCTGTACTTGGTGTCATCTCGGCGCTGCTGAAGAGAATCTTGGTGAACTCTGTATTTAGAATATCTCTCCTCGGCTCTCTCAGATGAACAGCGAGAATCCTGGAAAAAGGCAACGAAGAGTCTGAACTTGTGGATGAAAGAAAAATAAGTACTTAAAATTAGCATAAGAAAATGTTGATATGTAGATAATAAATAAATACAGGAGGTGAGGGATACATATAGGGAAATCAAAGGCCATCAAAGAAAAAGAAGAAAATGATCATTGTGGATACTACCATAAAAATAAAATAGGTTCCTGCAGTGGTTATTTGAAAATTTTTTTACAATCACTCCCCATGCCTATGTGAAACAACTGGTATCTTTGGAATAAGATTCATTAATAATGAGCTTTTTAAAAGATGGTTCTTAATAGCACCATGCGACTTTGGGATGTGGTCTTCTATCTTTTGGACCAGGACTTGACATCAGAACATTCTACTTATTAAAAAAAAAAAAAACTATATTTTATTTCACTTAGTTTTAAATAACAGTCAACCTTTTAACTATTATATCATATGGACTTTTTAATTTAAGGAAACCTCATCTGCCTTGATAAGTATAAAAATATTCAGGTAATAAAGAAAACTGAGAAAGCAAAAATTTCCAGGGACTTTTTTTCCCCCCTTTCGTTTCTCAGTGGAGGAAGAAACACAGCAATCAGATAGTTACTACAGCCAATTATGTCGACATTTCTATTATGATTTAGGGAGAAATTAGAAGAAAATGAGGGCAACTGATTTTTACATGTAAGAAAAATCATCTATGGGATTTAGTGCCATAAACAGTCCCAAGGAATCTTAAACTTATTGAATGTTCGGGCTGGAAGGAGTATTAGAATTCTAAAGTTCTTGCTTTTATTAAAGCCTAAAAACTAAAGCCCAGGGAAGTTAAGAATGATTTGCCCAGGGCTAGGCAATTTGTAGCAAATTGGGCTTGGAACCCAGTGGTATTCCCCTTCCACCTTATCAAATATGTCATGTTTAAATGTGAGATCGCAGAACTGAACTACTTTTTTCAAAATGAGGTCACAAAGAGAATATGACCATATTTAAATATAAATACATTCAAGCTATCTAAATCAGATGAGATTTCTTTACACTCTTAGAGTCACAGGCTAAACTACTATCAACAAATATGTATGTGAAATACGTTCCTAACATAAGTGATGCCAGTGTGAGTAGTAGGTAGCATACAGATACTTTTGTTTAAGTCCCTCATTTTTATTAATGAGGACAGATACCTGGAGACAGTAAGTGATTTTCTCTTCTGTACAAGCTTGGATCAGAACTTAGATATTTGTATTCTTTTTGTCCTTTTAATTTAAATTTTTTAAAGATAGATTTTTGCTAGGGACCGTGTACACTCACCGGAGAGATACAGACAGACAGAAAGTGAGAAATCACCTCCCAGGGGGGGATGACCATGCCACAGTCCCTTCCATTTCATTCTCCTCTTGGGATTTTGGGCACGCATGCACATGTGCCCAGTATCAGTTTCAAGTCTCCAAGTCCAGTACTCGAACCTCAGTCAGCCACATGGGAAACCAGTGAGGTAATCATTATTCATTTGCTGGTCCCAATTAAAATTTTTATAAAGCAAAAATTACAGAATATTTTTTTAACAAAGAACTTCACATTTTTTGTTGAATGTTTCTTCCCTTTGCCTTATTATTTTTTTTAAGTTTATTTATTCCTTTCATGAGCAAGACAGAGAGATAGACAGATAGCACCCCAACAAGGTCTGCATGCTGCACTGAACACTCAGTTTCAGCCAGCCCCAGAACACGGGCATGTTAGTGCCTGGTATACTCAGGGAGGTCTCTAGACTTAAAGAGTGAACCTTCCCACGTGGAACTGTCTCGCTGAGTGTGGAGTTTTACCATGCAACACCATGTGGTCCCCAGCATTGGCACTCATGTTCAGAGCACACTGATTTTTAGAGAGTTTCAAGAGTTTGAATAATATACTCTACATATAATAATCTAAAGGCTTTATATATTTCTATTTAAAGATATTTGGTTGTTTTCATTATACTTATTTAAATGAGCTCTTTTTAATAATATAGATGGCTTTTGAGTATGTATACAACGGGTTTCAAGGTAAAGGCATCAGGCCAAAACTGATGGACTCTGCTGTTATAAGCAGAATTAGACCCCTTTCAACTAATTTACATACTCTACACTTCAGTTTCCTCATCTGGAAAAGGGGAAACTGATACCCTTCTATAGAGTGCCTCTGAAGAACAGAAAAATGTAAAGAATGTTAACGGGGGCCAGCAGACAGCATGGTGGTTAAGGTGCCAGACTCCCACATGGCTGACTGCAGTTCAAGTCCTGGACCTGGTGGCTTGAAACTTACGCTAGGTACATTTGCATGCATACCCAAAATCCCAAAAGAAGACTGAAGGAGAAGGTATTGTGGTGTGGTCATCTTCCCTGGGTGGTGGTTCCTCACTTCTCACTATTTGGTATGTGTTTAATACTCACTAATTAACTCTTTTTCCCTTTCTAATATAAAGGTTTCATTTTTAATTTATTGGAAAGTATGCCTCTAAACTTTGAAAAATATTGTCCCTAAAAATTTCATTATACAGGTATCTTTATATGCAAGTGTATACATAAATAAGCTAGACTTACAGATAATCACTAACCCACAGGATAAATAATAATACCTCTTTGGGTAATAGTAGAGAATGGAAGCTTTTCATTTTATATAAAATTTACTGCTGTTCAATATTGATCACTGGGAAATAAAGTGACCTGGCACTGGAGGTTAACTATATATATTTTAAATTTGCCAAAGGGTGTGGTGTGTGTGCTCACTGGGAAGAGAGCACAAAAGAAAGAAAATAAGAAAGGAATACCCCTCCCCAATGAGGCATGGTCATGTTATAATCCCTTCTCTACTGTTCTCTCCTTTTGGGATTTTGGACACTCGTATACACATCCAACATGTTTTTCAAGCTACCAGGTCCAGTACTTGCACTGTGCAGTTGGCTACGGAGATCCACCACATTACTGTCTCGGTACACCACTGGCTGAAAAAAGATGGGCATTTATTTCTCAGTGGTAAGAGTCACCTGTCTCCAATGCCTTCTCTTGTCCACCCTCTATTCACTTAGATGACTTCCATTAGCTACAGAGAAATGTAAAAAATATGGGTATGATATATATTGCCTGCTATCAATGTCAGGTTGTATAAGGGTGAATGAAAATTATGTTGTCTTGGACACTGGTTTCATAATTCTTTGATAGGGATTTAAACTGCAAGGATATGATCAAATCATGAGACAGAATTAAATCCAGTAAAATGTACTGCAAACATTTAGTTTTGTTCGGATAGGTTAGGTTTCTGGTACGTGTCTGCTAAAGCCTGGATCTTAATGAAAAATACTACCGAACTACTAGAAAATGCTTAATGTACGGTTATTTTAAGATACTGCAGACCAGGCCACTCTCTGGCATGGTGGGTATGATAGTGGGAGCCCACATGGCCAACTGGTACTCATGATTTGAGTACCAGACCTGGCAGCTGAAAGATATGCCAGGCATGTGTGCATGCATGCCCAAAATCTTAGAAAGAGGAAACAATGGGGGAAAAAAAGAATTGTTGTATGGCTATCCCCCATGGGGATACTTTTTCATTTTCTCACTTTCTCTGTATCTCTCCAGTGAGCACATGCAGTCTTTTGTAAGTGAAAAAAAAATATATAGTGCAGGCCTTGAGAACCATGTCCTATTAGTGCTCCTAATATATCAACATGACATGATCTGGCTATATTTCCTACCCATTATATCGTCATATAATTCGTTAGATTAAAAATGGATTCTAAATATAATATGTTAAATGTTAAGTCTAATGTGAAATAAGAGTTTATATGGTTTCCAGAGAAAAACTCTTACTGCTGTTAGTCTCAAACATATAGGGTCCATTAATCAGTTTTAACAGTTTGTTAAAACTGAATATTACATACACGTTACGAAGTGAATATGTAAAGATGATCTCTGGACTGGACCTTGTCTAGCAGTACTGGGTAACAAGGTTATTTGTTTTACATCTTTCCTCAATGAGGAATGTTAAAAATTATACTAGGTAAATCCACATATATAATAAATTAGCTTGCTGGGGCTGGCAGGTGGCGTGGTGGTTGAGGCGCTGCCACTCCCACATGGCTGACCACAGTTTAAAGTCCCAGACCTGGTGACTTGCTTTCTCACTTTCCCTCTCTCTCTGGTCAAATTAAAATAAATGAATGAATAAATAAAATTAAATTAATTCTTTTTAAAAAATGTGCTTGCTAAGGAAATGCTTTACGGTTAGAGTTCTATCAATAAATAGTTTGGGATATGAGACCTAAAGCCATAGGTGGATTTGAAGTCATATGTCACAGTATGGGACAACCTGTGAACTCATATCTTCAGAATCAACAGTACCCTAGCAATTCATAAAAAAAAATTCATAAATCAAAATTGCTAATCAACAAAGTTATCTACTGTCGCTATAATGTGTAACTCCTTTTAATTCTCAAGTTTTTCTAAATTATTGTTAAAGCTTTCAGGGGCTGAATAAGCTTCAAAGCATAGGGTAGATGTCTATTTGCCTGCATGTGCTAATGGTACATTAGTTTCATGGTTTCAATCCTGACTTCACAGCTGTCAATGAACCAGGATAAGGTGGAATGTTAAAAGTCCCCAATGTTTTTTGGTCCTTCTTTGTTCCCTACAATTTTCTTTGCACATCAGGAAGATGTCAAGTGTTTTCATTCATATAAAGATACTGAAAGAGACAAGCCAACTCTTTCTCACTCTGAAGTCTTTGAAATCTTCTAGTAGGCTCAGTTTCTCAGGCACAGACTCCAGATGGTCCAAGGCCACTCGGGTACTCTGAAAAAGAAAACATAAGGAAAGTAAACATTATAAAAAATTGATTAATATTCTCAAAACCCAAATACTAAAAATCAGGTAGATATACCACTGGAGTAAGCAATTCAAGCTGCAGATTTAGAGTCAAATAAGAAGAGATATAATAGTATTTCCAAGATAAATACATCTTTTTAAATCAGAAGAATTATTTCCTTTCAACGAGTATATGAGCTGCATTTGCAAGACTGAGTCAGATATAAAAACTCTTTCTGGATAATTGCTTTCAACTGATATGCTATGAAACTTTCTATAGAGCATTTCATATTAATATTAATTTACAAACCTGCTTCAGTGAACATCAGAAATAAACCACAAGGTAATACTGAGAAATAGATGAATTTGCAGTTACTTATCTATGAAGCATATTAGAGATCCTCGAGTGTTACCATTATAAAGAAGAAAAGAATTCTCAGCAATTATTTTAGTTAAAAAGGAAATGGGGAACAGTTTTCAAAAGACTTGGGAGAAATATCTGAAATTAAACATTTGCAGTGGGGACACAGGATCCTGTTGCTTATAAATCAGTAACTTACTATTATACAGTCTTTGATTAGCTGGTCACTGGTACATCCTCCAATATAAACATTAAGAGGGAATGATTTGAAAACTATTTCAAAACTGATGTGACATAAAAGGTAAGTGGTAGAATAACTGTGAGACGAGAGACTGTATAATATATGCAATGTGCAATTCCGTATTCTTAGGCCTGTCACAGTGCCAGATCTTATTAGGCAGCCAATAGATGTTTGCTTTTAAATTTACAATAGGAGTTTGCAGAAGGCATGGTGGTGAGGTGCTAGACTCCCACATGGTCGACTGTGGTTTGAGTCCCAGATCTGGAGGCTTGAGAATCACACCAGGTGCATGACCTGGCAGCTGAAAAATATGCCAGGCATGTGTGCATGCATGCATCCCAGGAGGAGAAACATGGAGAAAGGATTGTGGCACGACCATCCCCCCAGGGAGTGATTTATCACTTTTTTTTTCTCACTGACTGTCTCTGGTGAGAGCATACAACCTATGGCAAAAGCTTAAAAATTAAATTAAAAAAATTAATTAAGATGAATTCTAATTGCTCAGTGAAATAAATAGCAAACTCCATGGCTTCTCCATGCATGAGAAGAAAGTGAAGTGTCCTGCAAAAACCTGGACATAATTTTGCAGAGTTGCCAAGAAGTTATTGACTACCCAATATCCCACGTGCTACCCTATATCTCTGAAGTGAATAATTCTATTTTTTTCTTTTCTTTTTTTTGGAGAGGTTTTTGCTATAGGGCGCATGCGCTCGCCAGAAAAAGAGAGACAAAGAAAGCAAGAAATCGCCCCCCAGGGGGGATGACCACGCCACAATCCCTTCTCCTCCATTCGCCTCTCGGGATCTTGGGCACGCACGCACACACACCCGGCATGAGTTTAAGCCACTGGTTCCAGCAACATAACCATTACGCTAACTGCTGGTCCCCAAAGTGAATAATTATGAACAATGGACTCTGCCTGTATCACTTCTGGACTGAGACAGCAAAGAGTCTGTGTGCTCCCTCTTCTATCCTAGCCCTTACTATGAGAAGTTTTGAGGCCACAGGCCTCGAATGGCATGAACAAGACAGAGGAGAGTTGCCCACCAGATTAGACTTCCTGTGAATGAGACATAAACTTATACTGGGTTAAGCTAAATGACGTCAGGGTTTATTAGTTACCAGTGCATAGCAGAGCATTAATTATCACAAATATCTACACTGAAAATTAAATAATTTAAGTATAGGATAATGAGGTGGTCAAATGGCTTGGGGGAGGAGGTGCTGTAAATTATGAGTATGTAAAGATTTTTTTTTCCCTCAGGAGGAATTCTGATATTTGTTGCTTTTTTCTTTTTCTTTCCTGCCTAACCCCCCATATCTGTGTCCCACTAATGTCATGCCTCTCTATTTATTCTCTTGCTATCTTTCTCTATACTCTTCTCATCCCCCCCCCAATTCCACATTGTTTTATCCTCATTAAGTATTTTCACTGCTTTTACATCCTCCAATATTTCGCTCTCTACCATAGAGTGCGGATAGTCCGTATATATTAAGTAGATACATACAATATCTTTCTTTCATAGCCTGGCTTACTTCACTCAGCAATACGTATCTTTATTTTTGTAATGTGACCTTTGAGAGAAGGATAGAAATACACCCTTACTTCACAGTTTCGGAACAGTGTGTGCTATTTCTTCAAGTTCACAAAGTCTTCCTTTGCAAGGTCCATTTAAAGGATTTAGTGTTTTGTTCCTTCTGCTTAACATTTATATTATTGTTAGTCTGTTTGCCACATGTACTCACTTAAACTGCCATGCATTTTAAATGACTTCATTTAATTTTTTCACATGTAGGAAAGATTCATCAAGATGACATGTTTGCTAATGTAGGCCACAACACAGGTTTAGAAGAGTGGGTAGTTTTAGCCATCACATACACTATATTCATTTAGTAATAAAACAATAGATTTTTCTAAAGAATAACATTGGCCCCTGAACAATAAAATACAAAGCAATGCCCTCATGATTTTAGAGCAAAATTTTATGCATTGAATAAAATCCTCTTCATAAACACAGACTCTAATAGACATGTAGTATTAAAACTTTATTTCCCTTTTTCATCTCATAATTTTTCTCATTCAGAAATGATCCTCTAAACCTGGATTAAGTATGCTAAACTCATTTTCTTCTTAAAATAAGCAACTGATCTATTTGTCTAGTGTAAAATCCAGAATGTTTTATAAATATATTTGCTAAAAAATTTTCAATCAACCAAGTGGCTTCATGAAACAACTCTTCTTTCTCCTATATGCTCACATTCAAGCTTAACTCTTTTTTTTTTTTTTTTTTTGAGATGGATACTCAAATGCCTCTCCTTTTTGTGAGTGAAACTATGAAACATTTTGGTTTCTTCTTTCTTAAATTGTTATTTTTATGCTCCCTTCCTTTTGGCATTTCTCTTTCTATCCCTCCATAAACTGATCTTTTTACTTTTATATCATTTATTTTAATTATGGCTTATTTTATATTCTATTTACATGTTGCTTCTAAATATCTTCCTCAATATCAGAAATACTTCCTGGCGCACACGCTTTTCGCTTCATCTTAATCTTCTAGTCAGTCGACTAATGACAAACATGTATCCTACTTATCACGGAAAGATCCGTAAGACTTAGAAAGTGTATTTTGAGTTCTTCAGGAATAGTTAACTTACTGGGGAGGGGGAAATATGTATATCCAAGAGATGTAAGAATGATTCAAAGAAAAATGTTAATTGCACTTATTTTAAGGAAATTGCATGTACAAATGTTGAGATTTCTAGGGCAACTGAAACAGTAAGATGTGAAGTAATGAAACAATGAGTTTAGGCCTGCAGTCCTCACAGGTCTTAGCATATGATTTCATGATGAAGTGATATTTTGGGGAGTACATTTACTTCTTGGTCTCCTCTCTTTCTCTCTGTATGCATCCATATGAGCATGCTTAAAAACATCACTTTGGCATCCAGGCTTAAAAATATGCATGATATTGCAACTGTTTTGTTTTGTGTTTTTTGTATTTTTTTAATTTTATATGAGATTGGCTGGGGTTCTGGGATTCGTTTTGTCATATCTCATGTCCTTTCAAGTTTGCTTTTCCTCAAAATCTAACAATGCTAGAGATAGTAGATTTATCAGCAGGTGCATAGTCTAAAAGAGGAAACTTATTTGATTTAGAGATGCCATGAGGGCCTATATCATACTAGTTCCTAGGACAAAATACCTAGTACTGAGTTAAAGGAACTTTTATAATTTTTTATTTAAGTTGATTAAAATTTTCTGTCTTGCACTGTCTAATGGTTTAAAGGACATGAGTCAGTTCCCACTGTTAGAAGAATTAAGAGAGAAACTTTTCAAGTTTATTTCAATAATAGCACCAGCAAATAATAGGTGCTTGACTTGTTTAATTTTCTACAAAAAACATCATGTGCTCACAAAGGGGCTTAAAAATGTTTCTGTTTTTGGGGGCCAACGGGCAACATAGTAATTAAGAGGCTTAACTGCTACATATGGTTTGAGTCCTGGATCTGGAAGTCATGCTGGGTGCATGTGTGTGCATGCCAAAATCTCAAGAGGAGAATGGAGGAGAAGGAACTGCAGTGTGGTCATACCCCTAGAGGGTGACTTTCTCTTTCCTTCTCACTGTCTCTGTCTTTCCAGTGAGCGTACATGCCCTATGGTAAAAACCTTTTAAAAAGTTTCTATTTTGAAAATTTTATGAGATAGTAAATTTCATATCAAACTTTAAAACAAAGAAAAATTCACAATGAAAACTCAGTTTCATAAAATACCAAAACACTGTGCATATTTGATTTATCTCAAAGGCTTGAAGAGAGAGATTTCCACTGGCCTAAAATTAGTGACAAAGCAAATGGCAGTTAATCCTAATTCTATTTAGTAGCATGATAAAAGACTAAACCACAAAAATGTCATTCAATTTTGAATACACTTATTAATCTTCCCACCACTGTCTGAAGTAGAATCTTTGTTGGCACCATTATAGAGATGAGGCGATTGAGGACCAGAAGTGTTAGGAACCTCTTCACAGTCAAGTGATGGCAAAACTCTAAATGTAGAAATAACAGTGTTCTTATAAATTATTTTCATGAAAAATTTCAAGCTTAAAAGGTGTAGATGACAAGCAGAAGTTGTTATGGTGAGTGCTGTAGGTAAACTCCAAACCTCTGGTTAGCTATCAACTCTTAGCATCCAAAATTTTCAAGCATTATCCTTGAAGGGCTTATTTATTTTTATTTTTAAACATTTATTATTTCTTTAGAGAGATTTTTATAGCTGGGTATGCACTTGCCAGAGAGAGACAGAAAGTGAGAAATCAGCCCCCCCTACACACCCCCGCTCAAGGGGGCTGGTCATGTCTCAATCCCTTCTCCTTTATTCTCCTCTCAGGATTTTGGGCACACACACCCCCAGCGTTGAGTGTCAAGAAGCCAGGTCCAGGATTAGAACCATGGTCGGTAGACCACAGTCGGTCATGTGGGAGCCTGTTATCAAAACATTATGCCATCTGCTGGTCCTGATTGGCTTATTTCTGATAGAGAAGTTTTAAGATGAAACCATGAAGAACTTCACCTGGCTGGTACAGAAGAGCCTATACTCAGGACTGTGCCCAAGCGCACACACACACAGAGGGGTCTGGAGAGTTTCTGTTGATGAGAGTGTTAAGCATGAGAAAAATTTAATATCTAATATATGGCCCATGCAAGGCGTTTCAAATAATGATTGGGTGGACGGAGACAAAAGCAAGGTTTCCATGTTCAAGTAATCTTACTGACCTCTTTATTAAAGGTCTACAAGCAAAATTTTGCTGTTTTGTTTATTTTCTCCAGACCAAAAGAAAGACCAAGTGTCAGAAACAATAATGCAATTCAGGAATTCTATCTATTAGCTCTTAGGGCTTTTGCACCTATAGATATGTTCAGATATCTGTTGACAAGAGCAAGAATAGTTTGCCAATTTTACCGTTTTTTAAACAATGATTTTATTTAACTTTATTTACTTATTTATTCATTTCAATTGGACCGGAGAAGGATACAGTGAGTGAGAGAGAGAGAGAGAGGAAAAGTGAGAAAGCAAGCCACTGGGTCCGAGACTCGAACCATAATTGGCCATGTGGGAGTCCAGCACCCTTAACCACCATTCCACCTTCTGCCCCCTCAATTTTACCATTCTAAAAGCCTTCGATACATAATAAACGCCTGTGGAGGTAAGCAGTTTGTACTGATCCACAGTACCTTTTTCCCTTAGCCATTTCTTTCAGACTGTAGGAAATAGAGTAATACTGTAAGACAACCTAAGTAGCAGCAGTGAGGAATTAAAGTAGAGGATGCAATACTAAAAAACAAAAAGTTACTATCTCCAGTAGAGAAAACTTAAGGAATGGACTTAACCACTGGCAAATTTAAGTATACACATTAAAAAAAAAAAAAAAAAAAAAGCATGTGTTTTTTGTTTGTTTTGTTTTGTCTTTTTGGTTAACATATAACGACTACAATTTTCTTATAGGGCTACTGAAATCACAAGTGTTTTGAGGTTTAGATAGCACATAAATGAAAGGAAATACGGTCTATATTTTTATTTTTAAAATGAGTATGTGTATTTTTGGCATCAGACTCATGCTAAATAAACAAAGTTATGAGGCAGTTTATTTGGGTTCAAAAATGCAATTCTATTTCATTTGGAAAGAGAGTCACTGTTAAACTTTCCTGACAAATGGCTGAACGGTGGTAAAAGAACCTGAGTAAACACGTTTCAAGGAGAGGAAAGGTGAGATCATAAACAGGATAGACTGTATGCCTTTTCCCTTGTGACTCAACCCAGCACAGCTGTACTGGCTTCACAGCGCCCTGTTTTCATCCAAACCATGTAAGACACTCACTGGAACCAAACAGAGCAGTGGCAGAGAATAGGCCAGCAAAACCATGCTGTGCGTGCACATCCGTCAAAAGTCCCAGTGTTCAATGCTGTGTGGGTTTCTTGGAATATCAAGAATCCTCTATTCCTAAACTGTATACTTTAAGACAAGTCTAAAAATAAGACAGCTTCTTAGAAGTGTTTACATGTGTCTTGAGGTAAGAGGGTACATAAAGCTTACGAAGTAAAAATGCCAGGTAACAAGGCAATACGACATCGGGTCTATATTTGGCCTAAAATCTAGGGGAATTTTTGTCAACAAAAAATTCTACTTGTGTTTATGTAACACTATTCTAGTCAACAGTGGTAGAAGATCTCTTTTTAAAACTACAGTTACAAAATTTCAGAATAGTAGTATAGTTGTTGGAAAACTGGGATACAGAAGACTTTCTAGATAAATTCCTAATTCTCATTCACAATCATTGCTTTAAGAGAAAAACTATATAAAACACAGAATCTGCCATTCCATACTTTTGCTTTCTTATGTCTAGATATTTCCACATTATAAGTTATAGTTAACTTGTTACCTTATTATTAGCTTCAAAAAAAAGATGTAGTATTTTCTCCAAATGAGTGATTTGGGAGATTTTTTTTTTTCAATGAAAAAACACCAAGTATGAATTGAAGGAGAAAGGAAGACAGAAAAAATAAAGACGCATCTCTTCCTTTGAAATTCTTAAGATCATCTCTTTTAACACTGCCATTCCCTGATATCAAGAAGAAGTAACACACAAAGCTAAATGAGTTTAGTATTCTCTGTGAAATGAGTTTAGTGTTCTCTGTGTGCTGAAAAATAAATTAGGGACTGACAATCATTTTATAAGTAGGAGGGTTTTGAGACCTACTATCTATTTAATGGAAGCACTATATTTAAAATTGAAAATGAAAAAAAACCCACATATACACACAAAACAACTGGATGTAGTTGCATTTTAATAACAGGCAAACAATAGAAGGTAGGGCATCTTGGAAGAGAACTGGGATTTGCGATTTCTGCCAAGGTGGGAGGTAAGGAAACTATGCCTCTAGACACACAGGTCTCACAGACATGTTTTCAGCTGGCCATTGAAGGAAGGTACTGAGACAGAAACTGTGCTGGACTGGAAATCAGCATCCCTGACTTGTGGATATTCATGGTTCTAGTACTATTACTTGTGTTTTGTGGTTTGGGGAATATCATTCTGCCCAGACCTTAAGCTTTAGTCTTCTGGGATAAATAATGATGGCCTTTATTATTCTATGCCGTCAGGGTAGTTGTGATTATCCAGTAAGTGAGTGAATGTGAAAGTGCTGTGAAAACTGTCCAGCGCTTTCCAAATAGCAAGTATTGAAAAACACTGAATCTGTGAAGTGCTATCAACTCTAGTAACTCTCAAATAGAGAAGAGGTCAGTGACAATCTGAAATTGTGGCTACAGAATACAAGGCAAACTTAATTAAAATCATATCCAATATTTAGAAATGCATTTACTATTCTACAGATGGCATCTTAAACATTAAAATAACAGAAGTGTAAATGGCACATGAATTACTTTCGTACATACTGTGCCCTCGGTGGGGAATGCTCCCTTCAGCCTCCTTATCTGGTTAACATTTTTACCCCCAACATTAGGAGCATTTTCAAGCACAGAGGAAATCTGAAAGAAATTTACAGATATCATCCATATACCTGCCATCTAGGTTCTATCATTAATACTGTATTTATCACATACCAATCTGTGTATCCACCCCTGTCTACTTTCATTTTGTAAGTTTTTGCCATAGGGTACATGTGATCACCAGAGAGAGACAGAGGGAGACTGAGAGGGAAAGTGTGAAGTAACCTCCCCCCCAAGGAGGATGTCCACACCTCAATCCCTGCCCCATTCTCCTCCTGGTATTTAAGGCATGCACCTTCTCCCTTCTCCTCCTCAGATTTTAGGGCTGCACATATCCAACATGATTTTCAAGCTGCCAGATCCAGGACTCAGACCGCAGTCAGCCATGTGAAAGTCCAGAGCCTTAACCATCATGCCACCTGCTAGCCCTGCTCCCCATCTACCTTTGAATCCAACTTAATTTTTGGATACATTTCAAAGTAAGATAAATTAGTGACTTGCTCCTAACTTCTTCAGCATACATAACATTAACTCTAGTATATTATTTACTTTTTAAATGTAAAATTTATATATAACGAAACGCATACATCTTGCGTGAACTAATGGTCACCTTTTATGATCTACCCTATCTTCTATCAGCCATCACTACCTCAGGGAAGGCTGCCCTGCCTTCTCTGATTCTGCCAAACTTTACTGCATCAGAAGCCTGATTTAGGTAACACTTATCAGAGTACTAATGTTCTCTTTATTTGTGTGACTGTTTGATTAATGGTATCAACACTCAGCAATAAACATCATAAAGGTCTCCCCCGTACTTCTCCCAGTGCCTGACACAGGGCAGGGATTTCATAATTGCTTCTTAAATGAAAGAATTAATATTATTCAGTGAAGGAAAGGTTTCCACATTTACTCAATCTGCAAATATTTACTAAATATACTGAACCATATACTGAACATAGTTCTAGAGGTGTATAAATAAGGCAAAAATCTCTGTCCCCATGGTGCTTATACATTTTTAATGTGGGGGAGGCAAATGGACACATAAAATATGAAACTGTCACACATACTCTAAAAAGAAAAAAGTAGGGAAAAGTGAGAGGGAGTGACCAGGTTGCTATTTTAGAGACCATGGTCCATGACAGTCTCTCTGGTGAGATGGTTTGGGAGCAGGATGAAGTAAGGGACTGGATCATGAGAGTCCTGGGGATGAGCGTTTAGGACATAACAAACTAAGGGCAAAGGCCCTAAAGGGGGGTGCTGTCTCGCACTTGTAGGAATGACTGGCTACAAGTCTGGGTGGCAGTAGAGTGAGCTGAGTGAGGGCACTGCAAGGGGAGGCCAAGCCTGGAGCAAGACCTTAGAGAGCCTTTTGGGCCACAGTCAAGATGTCACACTCGATTCTGAATGAGATCGAAGGTCTTTGAAAGTTTTGAGCAGAGATGTGACCTGCTTTCATTTAGTCTCAAAAGAACACTCTGCATTTTGTTTTGAAAACAGACTGCTGGCCTCTCATCCCTAACTGAGAAGAGCATGTGGAGTTTGGGAATGCTGTAGGAAGTTTACATGGGCATTTCATCCCCCTAGGCTAGGACTTGCTGACTAGCAGCAGAAACTCTCAGAACCATCTCAGGGGGTCATTTGCATGGAGCTCCATGAGAAATTTATTGGGAAAACAAACTGAGTCCTCAAAAGACCAACAGTACTCCTGATTTGCCCAAAATACCCTCATACCCCCAAAACATGCATTCTGACTTTAAACTACTGAAAAGGTCTTAAAAGTCTATAAAATAGTTTCTCTAAGCATAATGGATTGCTTGTATATGTGGCAGCCTTCTGTTTAAGGTCAGGCAGCAAGATACCATGAAAAGAAGCTGATTAGAAATCAGGAGATAGAAAGTTATTGCACGGTTTTGACATAACCAGTTATATGAACCTGGGCAAATTATTTGACCCATGGAGCTCAGTTTCCGAACGGGGGAAATGGAATGATGAGATCTGTACTTTGTTTTTTTTTTTTGGAGAGGTTTAGGTATAGGGTGCATGCACTCGCCAGAAAGACAGCGAGAGACAGAGAGACAGAAAGCAAGAAATCACCACCCAGGGAGGATGGTCATGCCATAATCTCTTCTCCTCTATTCTCCTCTCGGGATCTTGGGCACGCATACACACGCACCCAGCATGAGTTTCAGTCACTGGGTCTGGGACTCGAACCATGATCAACTACATGGGAAGCCAGTGACATAGCCATTACACTAACTGCTAGTCCCGAGATTTGTACATTTTTAATACTCATTTTGGCTCCAGCATTAGAACACTGCAGCTTTGACCTCTTCCAACAGTACACTAGAGTCAGACTTTTAAGATAAAAAAGTAGGAAAGAATGTAAAGAGGTTTTATAAAGAGAAATCAAAGAGAAAATGAACCATGGGATTCTAGGGGTTAATAGTTATCTAATAACACCTGTGGGGTGGAAAATCCTTCATTCTTCTGTGGCATAAAGTGAAGCTAATGACTATGTAGAAAATAACAAACCAGGAAGAAAGGCATTTTTGTCTTCTTGGGTGTATGCCCCATCAAATTACTAATTTCAAACATTTGTCATATTGTATTTTTAGAAAAGAAGCTTCCAAAATAAGGCAAAAACCTTGCTTTTCTTTTTTCCCCCAATTTATAACTAGCCTAACTTAAGAAAAAAAGGTATTTTATCATTTCCTCCTTATCTAAATACTGCTAATGAGCCTCTGGTTCTACTGTGACAGATACTACTCTATGGATCTGCTTCTTTCCTGAAGCTTTGTGACATCACAATTGTACATGAAGTTCATCAGTCTGGAGTGTTCTCCACATACTGTATAAAACAGCTCACTGATCCTTCTGCAAGATTTGGCTTGGTTGCTACTTCCTCTAATATGGCAAGCAAAAGCACAGGCTCTTAAGCTGGTCTACCTGAGTTTAAATCCTGGGTTTGCCACCTACTAGTATGTATCTTTAGAGAAGTTCCAGGTCCTCCTGCACCGGGCTTCAGCTTATCATCTGTAAGTAGGGATGAGAAGAATATCCACTGTGCAGAGCTGCTATAAGGACCAAATACACTAATACCTGTAGTACTTAAGAGTACTTACTAGCATGCAGTAAGCACTCGATAAACTGTAGCTATTACTACAACGATAGTAACCGAGCCTCTCCCCCTCACTCTGGGTCGGTTGCCTGCTTGCTCATCCTCAGCAGTTCCTATACATGTGGATATCTCCTATCATGTGTACAATTGCTTCCTGTGTTTCCTCCTTTAAAAGACTGCAAATTCCTTGGAGTTAGTAATACTTTTTCCCTGTATTTTCAGTGCTGAGTAACTAGTACCAAAATGCATTTCAATTTTATGGAGGTAAAAAAAGGCTCATTATAAAGATAAGGACTCATCTAGAACTTACAAAACATTACAGCAAGGAAAATATAGCAAATTGTTTTAAATGTAGAATTTAAAAATCAATTGTTTTTGAGTGACAGAGGTTATTTCTTTTAAGTAATTATTTATTTAATTTTATTTATTCATTTATTTGTTTTAATTTGATCAGAGAGAGAGAAAGAGAGAGAGAGAGAGAGAGTAAGCCACCAGGTCCAGGACTCAAACCATGGTCAGCCATGTGGGAATGTCCAGCACCTTATCAGCTTATCATCTGTAAGTAGGGATGAGAAGAATATCCACTGTGCAGAGCTGCTATAAGGACCAAATACACTAATACCTGTAGTACTTAAGAGTACTTACTAGCATGCAGTAAGCACTCGATAAACTGTAGCTATTACTACAACGATAGTAACCGAGCCTCTCCCCCTCACTCTGGGTCGGTTGCCTGCTTGCTCATCCTCAGCAGTTCCTATACATGTGGATATCTCCTATCATGTGTACAATTGCTTCCTGTGTTTCCTCCTTTAAAAGACTGCAAATTCCTTGGAGTTAGTAATACTTTTTCCCTGTATTTTCAGTGCTGAGTAACTAGTACCAAAATGCATTTCAATTTTATGGAGGTAAAAAAAGGCTCATTATAAAGATAAGGACTCATCTAGAACTTACAAAACATTACAGCAAGGAAAATATAGCAAATTGTTTTAAATGTAGAATTTAAAAATCAATTGTTTTTGAGTGACAGAGGTTATTTCTTTTAAGTAATTATTTATTTAATTTTATTTATTCATTTATTTGTTTTAATTTGATCAGAGAGAGAGAAAGAGAGAGAGAGAGAGAGAGTAAGCCACCAGGTCCAGGACTCAAACCATGGTCAGCCATGTGGGAATGTCCAGCACCTTAACCACCATGCCACCTGCTGGTCCCCAACAGAGGCTATTTCTAAACAGACTTAAAATTAAAGAAATTTTAAAAATCTAGAAGAATGAAGGGATAGTAAAGTTGAGTTTACCAGCCTAGACAGAGTTAAAGAAGATGACATCAAAATCTTATGTGGACCTAAAGAAGGGGTGCCAGTATTGTATGCTTTGAAGAGTAACCCGCCTCCTGTGGGTTAGCTGACAGGGACTACACCAGGCTGGGCAATGCCGGGGACACCGAGCACATGCTAGAAACTGAGAAATGCTAATCATTTCCCTGAATCCTGCAAAGCCCTTGCCCCATGAGCTCAAGTCAAATTAAAGTAAGCAATTACATTAGTCTCTTCATATGTAACACAGAACAGAGGGTCCTGATACAGAACACCGATAAGGAGTGCTAATTGTTCTGGCTGAGGTAGGGTCCAGGCTAATTTACTTAAAAGCACGTTAGCGAGGTGAACATAATTAATCCTCTCTGTTCTCAAAATAAAAGGTTATTTTCTTTTTAAAAGATGTCGTCTGTTCTCAAAGAGAATGACAAAACAAATTAATCATTTTCCATTATTCCACACACAGCACTTGGATGCTGAAAGAGCATGTGAACAGTTAATCCCCCTATAGGGATGAGTTTCTGGTGACAGGCAGATCAGATCTAAATAGAAATCAGGAGAGACATTTTACTTTTTTTTTTTTCATTGTGGCTTTGAGATTTAATTCAA